ACGCAATAGAATTCGTTAATTTAGTTTTATTAAACATCTTATGTTTTATTTATTAATAATAACGTTTAAAATATATAAAAAATATATACAATATGATTTTTTTATAGCATTGGGTGACAAACGAGCACACAGTCCACCCGATGGTAAGTGGATGCTGTGGCCCATAGACATCTCCATTTATCCTTAATTAAGGATCAAAATGCAAATGCGTTTTCATCCCTGACGTCTATAATAGAATATAATGGAATAGATTTTTTTCTTCAATATAGATTATATGTTGTAGTTCTTATTGAAAGATGTTTTTTACTTTATCACTGATTCTAAAAAAACCTCCGTCTTAGGAAAAAAACAGCAAGAAACCCAGCGGGACTTTTTTTTTTAAATAATTTTACACAAAATATTTACAAAATTTATTTTTAACAGCTTGGAAAGGAACACCTCATTCCCAGGGGCTATTATCAACCATGTATTCATTTAATTATAATAACCCATTTTAAATAGTTTTGTTTAAATTAATATTTAAACTTGGTAATAGAGAAACCTTTTATATTTTCTGGGACTTTGTTTTAATAGCGTATACATTGCCCCAAGAATGAATTATTGATTCTATGGAGACGAAACACTGATATCACTAGCTTTTGTTTGTTCCTAATGTTTACAGAGTGTATATCACTTTATTTACCAAAACTACCTCTGTTTTTGTGAGCATACATTAAATTTTCGTAGATATACTGAGAGGCCAAAGTTAATTTTGTCTTTAAATTTTTCTCTAAGAGACTCTCTCAGTTTAGGGTTGTAAATAGCTCTTATGGCCCTCTTCTGTAAAACAAAAACAGTTTCTAAATCAGCCGCATTTCCCATAGCAAAATCCCATATGACATTATGCTATGGAAATAACTAAAATAAACTATTCTAGCTGTCCCACACTACTGATATCTTTAATCTATTTTACAGCATATGCTGCAGAGCGTCGTCTGCTTGCTTTGCTATATGGGGGGCCCACTGAAGCTTAGTGTCGAGAGTGATGCCAAGAGAACAAGAAAAACAGAGGATTCAACCGGACTCAGTTCTTCCCCATTTAAAAACACATTGGTATTCGGATTTTTAACGTTTGTTGTAAATTTAATAAATTTTGTTTTATTGCCGTTGAAATGTAGATTATTAACGTGACAAAGCAAATTTATGATGCAGAAGTGAACGACAGAGTCGGTAAGGGATGTCCTAGGCGAAAGTTTGTCGACCAAATTGGCGATGTACTGAAAAGGGTCCAAATTGTGGAAGAGCCGAGACTGGTGTGTCAGGATCGTGCCAAATGGAAGTCTGTAGTCTCTGCCTACCCCTCTGGATTACAGGCGCGAGTGCTTATGTATGCATGTATGTATCAACGGTAAACCAATGCACTAATTTTGACATAGCATTATTCACTTCGTCACATTTAAATGATTGACGTTTAAGTTTAAAAATCAAGGAACCATCATCAGCAAATAATACTATATCATGATTATCCCCTAAAAGAGAAGGTAAGTCATAAATACAGACTATAAAAAGGTGAATGGGCCAAGAATTGAGCCCTGAGGGACACCCATCTGTACGGCACTAAGATGGAATGCCTCGATTGCAGTAAAACGTTGTGTTAATGTTCCGAAATAAATATTTTCCACTTATTTTCTTTCTTTTGTGATAATCAAAGCAAATTTTCTCCGCTTCAGGAGAGACCCAATTGACTTTTACATGCCGATGAAGAAGAATTATTTATATAGATTACATGTTGAAAAGGAATATTAAGCTAGAAATGCATGTAGACTATCATCTTATTGATTAGGTCTTAAAGGATTTAAAAACAAAAGAGATTATAATGCGTGTTTTACATAAATAAAGTAAAACTACAGCAATCATAAACGAGAACACCATCCACCCGATGGTGGTCCAAAGAAATCTACAGGTATTCTCAATTAAGAATCAAAATGCAGACGCGTGGTAACTTAAGACGCCCTGAGGACTCGTAACCAGTAAAAAGGATATACAGTTCTCATTACCCTCCATACACAAACAGCATTAAGCTGCTAGTTTACGCTGGTGTTATAAGTCTTCCCCGATCGAGCCGACTCATTCGTAATACAACCATAAAATAGCTGCAGCGTTCCTCTACCGCGTATAAACGATACCGCTTAACCTACTCTGCTTTTACCAAAATCCCACGACAATATCATACACGGAAGATTAACCACATTTATGATAAAGGTTGAATAAAAGAATTATAGTCTTGACATCAGAAGTTATTACATATGTAAATATTTAAGTAATGTAACATTTAAGTTCTTTGAAGTTGAAAGTCTTAGCTTTTATTAAAATGTTAACATTTTTGATACTTTGGTTTAAGGGTAACATAATCTCAAAGCTACAACTAGAATTTCGTCTAAGAAGTTAAATTAAAAATTTCACCTCACATTTATACACCTTTAGGGCTGGAATTTTATCCACGAATTTGTTTGGGACCACCCCTGAAGCACATCTTTATAAAATCGATTTACAGTTTACAAAAAGAACTGAAATCGTATTGAAAATGTCCTCTTTTTTAAACTCTGATAAAAAAGTAAATTTTCGTTACCTTGTAAATAAAATTGAACCTTTTTTAACACGCTTTTATAAGCTTCGCGTTTATCTATATGTCTATGTAACGGAATCTTTTAATTTCACCAAAAAATTTCACCAACTTGTAAACAGCTGATTGACTTAAAAATTTGCGTATCAAGGACCGATGACAATTATGTATGTATGTAATATGGAGTGTAGAGGTAAGGAGTACAGACTTTGTATAAAAAAGTGTCCGAAGGAAAGCCTTAAATAACGGTGGCGCCACTGTAGCTACAGTCTAAATTTTAATAAACTTTTTATAATTTTTTTATTGCACAGACTTTCACCATAATTCTTTCTACAATAATTATTTTATTGCTTTCAACATTTTTATTTTCAAAATCACCCTTAACGTATTTTACGGGGATTTAACATACCCCGTAGCTACTCGAGCGCTATAGTGGAGAGTTTTTGAACTGTTATTTACTGCTTACAGATGGACACTTTTTCAACTATTCTCCTATGGGATTTGGTACTCCTTTCTTCTACACTCCATAGTACAAGAAGCCTAGAAGAAATGAACGTTAGGGACGCGTGGTTTCAGCAAGATGGAGCCACAGCACACACAGCACGAGGCCTAATGGATTTGTTGCGACAACATTTCCCCGATCACCTCATCTCTCTCTCCCCAGATTTAGCTTCGTGCTATTTTTATTTATGGGGTTATTTGAAGTCCCTGGTTTATGTCGATCGACCACGAACCATAGCTCACCTCAAGAACACTATTCGTGACGCCATTGGCAACATGCCGATTGATATGCTGCGAAGAGTGGAAACTATCTTCAGAAATTGACTTAATCAGTGTATGCACAAAGAGGGTCACCATTTAACCGGTGTCATTTTTAACACTGTATGAAAAAAAAACTTAGGATAATGTATTCTTAATTTAAAAATAAAAGAATTAAAACAATAACTGAGGTACTTTTGTTTTTATTGACCTTTCAAATAAGTAAGTTTCTTAGGCGCAGCCTGTATGTAATTACTCTAAGATGACAATATAATGGTTTAATATTTTTTTAGTAACTGGATTTACGGCTATGAGTTCTAGCCCTTCCGAGTTTAGTAACTTAAGTATTCAATAATTTCATAACCTATATTTTAAACCTTTATATGTATATAAGTATCCTAATCAGGATCACAGAGATAAAATAAAATAATTATCAGATTCATCACAGCTTATGATCAATACGCGTTGTTTAAGTTTTTAAACTCTTATAATAAATATAAGTAAAATTAAAGTGTCTTTTTGTTCTATCGAATTAATTATCTTATATTGTGCTAAAGTTTTTTGCATGCATGAATGACGACGATACGAATGACGATTTAATTTTATTTTTACCTATCTGTCTGTCTGACCGGGCTCATCTTTGGAAAAGCTGAACCGATTGTATTGAAATTACACGAACAGAAAGGCAGCATGCCAGGAGTGATCTGGGCTGGATTTTATCCGAAATAAGTAAAAACCTTTGAGTTTTTTTATTTATTTATAAAAACATGATCTATGATTATTCTACCAAAGCGAAGTCAGGGCGTGTCTCTAGTTTTTAAAAGAAAGAAAGAATATATTTCTTTATTATGGCAACCTGCAGAACATCAGAAATTTCAAGTAAAAGTAAAATTATTAATAATCTGCGTATTTAAGTGGCGTTTGACTAACGAAGTCATAGCGCAGGTAGCGCTGCATATTATTGCAACATGCAAAATGCATATGCCATATTGTCCCCGCTATATATTATTAAGTCAACGTACTTAATGGATCGGGCGTCACAACAACGGTCAGACGCCTGTGATTTATTGCGAGTGCACACGCGAGTTACTCTGTTATGTTTGCGATAAATTGGAACTTATTGTCACACTTTTTACAGTTCTTTCTTCTTGACGTTGAAACTATCTCCGTTTGCAGAAAAATTTTGCAGAATTTATAACTTACGTACGAAAGAATCTCTTAAAGAAAAATTTAAGGACATAAATATATTAGCTTTACTCCCTCAGTATATAATGATTTCTTATATTTATGCGAACACTACACATTTAAATAATACTAGTTTGTACGGATTTTACCGCGTATATTTAACTACAAGACTGATTTTACTCTCACGCCGATCGTCGGCGCTGATCGTCAGCGCGTAGCTTGTCAGCGCCGACCTGTCAGCTCGAGTCGTTTTAGTCTCACGCCGATTACTGCCAGGTACAGTCACGATGTCGGTTGTAAAAATTATTGCTGCGTATTATTTATGGAAAAAAGACAACCTAAAAGAAGGCAATATGTTCATCCGTTTCTTGCTCAGAGATTACTTAGTGGAACATTTATCTCATTATATGGAGAGTTGAGCTCTGATGAATACAAATTCTTTAACTACTTTCGCATGTCATCAAAAAGTTTCGACGAGCTTCTAGTGAAGTTACAGGATAAGCTATGCCGTAACAGCTTACGGCGTGCACCCATACCACCGATTGAACGTTTGGCTGTTACTTTAAGGTAAGCTTCAAACAAAACAAGTTAGATAAGATTAGAAATTAAGAAATATTAATTCTACTTTTCATCTCTATTACGACGAAAATGAATAAAATATTTTTGTATTTATTTAAGTAACTCGCTGTGTTTATATTTTGAGACTGGAATATTTACTTGTTAAAGTTGTGTGAGTTTGGTAAATAAATTAGCAAAATAATGAAAGTATGTAATCATATTATTATTAATTAATTATCATAATTGTATACATTATTAAATTAACAAAAATTTTAAAAATCATCATATTTATTTATTGATGTTCATTATCATCACACACAGAATTATTGGTTGTCTGATATCCTGTTTGTGTCTGATACCCTGACATTTGTGTTTGATACCCTGCCGTTTCGGTCTGGTAGTCGTTTGGTGTCTGCAATGTACTCGTATGAAGCCTATATTCATCGGGAGAAGTGACATTTTCTATTGACGTTAATATACTGCTAGGTGTTTGGTACATATTTTGAATATCCTTAGCTACTTTTAAGACTCTTGTACGAAACTCCAACTTTTGATAAAGATCAAAACTATTCAAAATTGGGCCCAACGAAGAAAAGAAAGCCAGGTCATCACTACTGAGGTCAGGGGTCTGTTTGCTTAACAAAACTAACAATTCTATTTCAAATTGTGAAGTTTGTTGGGGAGATTGGCGCTGTGTATTTTTTCGCTTTTGTGACCATGGCCTTTGCGTTACTGTAGTATTATCACTGACATGCTGCGTGACAGTTCTTCTGTCCGTAAGAGCGGTTTCTTCAGTAGCATTAATTTGCTCTCCGTATTCCTGCGTAACAGAAGCAGCATTATCCAGTTCTGCAACGACTCTTCAACTACGTTTTCGTCATTTACTCGATCCAAAAACCTTAATTCTTCGAAAAACATATATTTCGAGATTTTAGAACCACTTCCAGAAGGCGTATTTTTCATACATGTCTTCGTTCGGAAATAGGCATCTCTCGCCGTTTTCCACCGCTGCTGGATAAGTTTGTCTAAAACAATAACAATATTTTATTTTACAGATTTTTGGCTACGGGTCAGTCCTATACGGATCTACAATATTCATTCAGGATCGGAACATCCACCATCAGTCTAATCGTGAATGAGGTTTGTTCAGCCATTTGGGAAGTACTACGCGATGAATGTTTGCCAACAAGGAGCACTGAAATGTGGCAAGAAACTAATGCAGGATTTCTTCAAAATGCTAACTTTCCCAATTGTATTGGGGCGATTGATGGTAAACATATAATAATTATTAATCCTGTAGGAGGGGGATCCATGTTTTACAATTATAAGCCCTTTTACTCCATAGTTCTCCAATGCAACAATAGCTAGCAATGTGTGATGCAAATTATTGCTACACTTACGTAAACATTGGAGCTTATGGAAAAGATTCCGACTCCTCTATTTTTAAAGACAGTGCACTGTTCCGAAGCTTAGAAAACAACACGTTAAATATGCCTGGACCCAAACCTCTGCCCGGCACAGATGTACCTGTTCAACATGTGATTGTTGCTGATGGTGCTTTTGGCATATCTAAGTACGTAATGAAACCGTATGCACGTAGTAACATGAATCGTAAAAAAAAGATATTTAATTATCGATTAAGTCGTGCAAGAAGATACATTGAATCCACATTTGGCATTATGTCAAATAAATTTAGAGTATTTCATACTCCCAGTGTGAGTGAGTGTCAGTTTGCCAGTTACAAAAAATATTGTAAAGGCATGTTGCATTTTGCATAATTTTATAAGAGTGCGAGACGGTTTCATAGTTGAAGATATGCTTACACTTGAAGGCATGGTTGATGTGCAACATAATATTCGTAATAACAGATTAGGGAACGCGTTGCGAGAACATTTTGCTGAATACTTTCTGACGCCAACGGGCAGTGTGCCCTGGCAAGACAGATATATATTTTAGATACCTACCGATGTATATACATATATATCACAATATATTGGATAAATCACTCCATACAAAATTTTCAATACGTACTGCTATAATAGCCTACACCTTCGAGTTTTTCAATAAAATCAGACTTACCCAAAATGTCTTTTTCATTTTGTGGTACATCTCCAAATAATACAACCACAATATCACCCCAAGCCTTTATTCGCTTATCTTTGTTTTTATAAAACTGGTCCGAAGCATCCCATAAACATCTTTTCAATCTTACTTCATCGATTACACGGCCAGTGTCTATATCTCGATTTTGCGACATGACAGTACTCGTCGGTGCGTGCGTTCGGCGTGACAATGCAACGCTCACTACTTTGTGCAGGCGCGTCAGCGCTCAGCGCTCAGTGGCGCCGACGGTAGATGTCGTGCGCGGCTCGGCGCCGACGCATGTCAGCGCTGAGGCATCAGCGTGACTTAGGAACGTTTCCTTTAATTACATACATTTTGATACATATTGATCTGTCAGCGCCGACGATCAGCGTGCAGTCAGCGTGAGTCTAAAACCAGCCTAAATATTAAATACCCGACGTTTCGAGCGCTTCACAGCACCCAAGGTCACGGGGGGAACTAAAAAACACCGATTCCTTCCAAGGATGATTCGCTAGGCTGTTGAAATCAAAAAACATCCTAATTTCAATAGAGAAGATGGCTGGGTGCTACCATCTGCTTGGGATCCTATAATAAATAAAATTAAATCCCAAGCCAAGTATACAACTGCAAGTCTTCAAGATACCATAAGTTCATACTGTGTAGATCTGAACAAAAGTTAAATTTTAATCTATGGTAACCGCTGTTAACTATGACATCTGATCGTTGAACATCTCAGTCCCTCCGTGACCATGGGTGCTGTAAAGCGCTTGAAACGTCGGGTATTTATAGTTAAATATACGCGATAAAATCCATAAAAACTAGTATTATTTAAATCCCTCAGTATATACTATATATACTCAGTATATACTGAGGGAGTAAAGTTAATGTATTTATTTCTTTAAAATTTTATTTAAGGATTTCCTTCGGACGTAGGTTATAAATTCCACAAAACTTTTATAACGAAAATTTAATGTATGTACACAAAAACAAAAATAGTCTTATTACAAATAGTAATGTACATTCTGTAAATACTAGGAAAAAGCAAACGTTAATTATACCAGTAACTCGAGCACCAAAGAGTCAGTAATTCCTACATGCGACAATGTGTACGCAAAAGCGTAAAAACAACAAAGTCCCAGAAAATATGAGGGCCTTATCTATTAAAAGTTTAAAATATTTTTTAAGCAAAAATTGTTGAAAAAAAGGGAATTATACTACTAACGAGTACATGATTGATAATAGCCTCCAGGAACGAAGAAATCACTGTCACGGTTTTTTTCTAAACGTTATCTTACTAATTGTTTAAAAATATTATATGGTAAATTGTTAAAAAAGTCCCGCTGGGTTTCTTGCTGGTTTTCCCAGGACATAGGTTTTTCCGAAGCAGTGTTAAAGCTTAAGTGACTTTCAATAAGTATTCTAGTAATGTATATTGAATAAAAATTATTATATTCTATTCAGTTCGCTGCTGGATGTAGACCTTTCCCGAAGCGTACCACCTAGCGTGGTCACCGCATACAGTTATTACCAACCACCTTGGGCAGACTGTCGCTTCATCTAGTCAGTGAACGTCTCACGTTACGTTTGCCTAGACGCAGTCTTCATACCATAACATGTCTACTCCATCGAATGACACTTCTGCAACAGACGTGACCTGCCCTTTGCTACTTCAGTTTACAAACAAACTTCTTGCTCATTATCAGCCCGAAAAATTCAACTGCTGTACCTAGCCTTTTTTACAGATTAAGGGTGACAAATGAGTATACAGCCCACTTGGTGGTAAGTGGTTTCTGTTGATCTTAAACATTCTATTCTCGATTAGGAATCAAAACGCAAATGCGCTGTCAGCCCTGAGGCCTAGGATCAAATGCCTCGGTATCAGTAAAAAAAGGTCTCCGTTTATACGAAGCACAGTAGCATTAAGCTAATATTTCAATCTGATATTCTGCGAGAGTGTAGTCCTGTAAACATAATATAGCTTCAACATGGCTCTACCACGTATAAAATTATATTTTTATTGACTTTTTTATGTTGATATTTTTTTCATAATAGCATATAAAATTCTACTGCTTAACATAAGCCTCCTCCAAGATGTCCTCATTGGGAGGATTTTGCCACAGTTGCCACGCTAGGCGGGCGGCGGGGTGGCAACCGTAGTTGTTTTATTATTTCGAGTTGTTGTCAGGAAGATGCTGCTGCCCATCTCCTGCCTGTCTCCCTCTGTCGCCTCTTAACCCTCGGGACGATATGGGGTAGTGGACATTCTTATACCTCCATTGCACAGTGAACATGCTCCTTATCATAACATAGTGCAGCGTGGCCCTACCACGTAAAAATATAAAAATAGCATTATTTATTGAGTGTTTTATGTGTTGTTTTTGAATATTTTTGTGTGTCCTTTCTTCGCTCTGCTTTTGTAAGCTGTTTTTTGTAACTGTTTTAATATATTTCTCCATCTTTCCTTATCCTACCCTTTACCTTGATTGGCTTACTCGTGTTAAATCTGGTCATAAAACGGTTATTAAACTCGGTTGGCTATTGAACTGTGAAGTTTATGACGTCTCCAAAGCTACTAGCATTTCCATGTACATAGTCTGCACTATTTACGTAATTATGTTGTCGAGTCGGTATGGCAGTGAAATGCAATTAGTGCAATGTTAAGGAACTCGGATTTATAGTATTAACTCACGCGAGTTTCTTTTATAGAGGTATGGATGACAAGAGGGCACACAGTCCCATGCTAAGTGAACGCTTACTATGGCGATTTGGAATCAAGATGCAGATATATTGTCACACCTTAGTACTAATATGGGATGGAGGACAGTATTATGACAGCAGCCCAAATGGGTTGGTTCAACCAGAAGAGAACCACAGAATAGGAACCGAAGTAGCAGCATAACACTGCAGTGTTTCTTGTCCGTGACGAGAGCCGGAGTTTTTACGTGTGAAATGGAATTTTATCCTTGTCTTTAGGGATGACAATACATCTTCATTTAGATTCTTATTTGAAAATAAATGTAGGTGTCTATGAGCGACTACTCCAAAAACTCAAAGTCACCCAGCGGGCAATGGATGAGCTATGCTCGTTGTTTCTGTGGTGTTTAGATTTGTAACGAATAATACCGCCAGAGAACCAAGGTCACTGACATGGCCTCCTATTTGCAAGCTGAAATGTCAATGGGCTGGTCACATCTATCGCAGAAGCTTTAACCGTTGGTATAAACGTGTTATAGAGTACAGACTTCGCCTGGGTAAACTGAGTGTACCGCTGTATTAAACGCTAGATGCATCTTTGTCGTAGTAGAACCACGCTGCAGATTGATATATTAGGATAGTAGCACGAATAGGTCGGCTCGACCCGGGAAGGACCACGCTCTCATAGAATACTAGTGTAAAATAGCAGCTTAATGCTACTGTGTTGCGTATCGCGAGTGCAGAGAAGCGGAGACCCTTTTTCCTGGAAACAAAGCATTCCATCTTAGTCCTCAAGGGTGACAACTCATCTGCATTTTGATTCTTAATTGAGGATAAATGTTACCAGCAAGTGGAATGTGTGTTCGTTTGTCACCTATATTCTACAAAAAATCTGCTGGAACCGTGAAGCCGAAGATCGGACTAAGTAGCGTAACCCTATGTCCAGCGGTAAACTGCAGCAGACTGATGAGGAAGGTGACTATAAGGGGCCATAGCATTACTTCAACATCAAGTGCACTATGTGGTCGTTTTTCTGTCACCCTTATTATACAATATATCTATAGTTTAACCCCCAGAAGACACAAGTTTGGGCGTTAACCGCTAAAAAGAACCCCTTTGTCGTATCTCCTCAGTTTCAAGGGGAGTGCCCTTGTAGCCTCAGCCAGTATCGGAATCCTCGGCGTCGACATATCGAGTGACGTGCAGTTTCATGGTCACTTAGAAGAGAAGGCCAAATAGGTCTCTAAGAAACTTGGCGTGCTCAACAGAGCGGGACAGTGTTTCATGCCGGTACATCGTCTGCAACTTTACAAGACGCAGGTTCGGGTGCACGTAGAATACTGTTCCCATCTCTGGGCTGGGGATCCCCAATACCAGCTCCTTCCACTTACCGTATCTAGCGAAGAGCGGCTCGAATCGTCGACGACCGAGTGCTTTCCGATCGGCTTGATTCACTGGCGCTGCGAAGAGATGTTGCAACTCTCTTTTCATCTATTTTATCGCATCTATCACGGGGAGTGCTCTGCGGAATTGTTCGGATTAATCTCAGCCGTCAAATTTCATGAACACACTACGCGGCAAACCTCCCGATACCATCCACACTATCTGGATGCTTGACGGTCCACCACTGTACGTTTCACTAGGAGTTTTCTTCCGCGCACGACCTCTCTGTGGAATAATTTCCCACCGGCGATTTTTCTGGATCGATACGACCTGGGAACCTTCAAGAAAAGAGCTTACTTCTTTCTAAAGGGCTGGCAACACACCCGCAATTACCCTGGTGTTGCAGTTGTACATAGGCTGCGGTAGTCACTTAACATCAGGTGAACCGTATGCTCGTTTGCCCCGTCTTCTATAAAGAAAATATAAATTTGTTGCATGACTCAACTTCGTGTAAGTGACTCCACACCTTTGTTGATATCGTAAATAGTAATCAATACTCTATTTGTATATCGCAATAATAAAAAAAACATGGAAACCTTTCAAACGAATGCTAATAAAATAATATTCAGAACTTTCTAAAAACCGTTGCATCATCAAACAAAAATTAGTCTAGTATTATGATACTTATTATTACACCACCGCATCGCGTGTTCAAGTCCTATTCAGATACAACATTTGT